GCCCCGCCCGCGCCGCCGGCGGGCCCGCTGGCGGTCCCAGGGCCGCTGGGCGGCGGCCGCAGCGACAGCAAGGAGGCCTTCGCCCCCCCGCCATCGCTCGCCTGCGGCGCGCGGCCCGAAGCGGACGCCGCACGTCGACGCGCGCCGACCGCTCGGCCGCCGACTGCCCGTCCTCGGGAGGTCCCGTGTCGCAGGCGAGCTTCCTCCCACGACCCCCGATTTGCCAACGACAAAGGAACGTTTGGGGACGTTTTGCGAAGCACGGCGTGCGCGGGAGCGGGGGCAAGGGAGGAGGAGGAGAGAGGCCCACCACCCCGAGGTTCCCGCGGGGGATCCCCCCCCCCAGCCGCCTCAGCCCCAGAGGGGGCAGAGAGGGGCGCCACCAAAGGCGGGGAGGGTGGCGGGCTTCGCTCCCGATGGGCAGCAGTCGCTGTGAAGCCGCTCGGACACGGAGGGAAGCCCTGGGATGCACCCCGACGGGGCTATTAGGACGCACCCCCTATCGTGGACGGATGCCCCCCCCCGTCGTGTATCCCAGGGTTGGGCCCCAGATGTCTGGTCCGTTCGAAGGCCCCGCGGAGCCTCCCCCTTCGTGTGTGTCCTCTTTGGCCCTCCCCCCCTAGCCGCCTTGCCTTAGGGGGGGGCGCAGATCGACGCGCGCCGACCGCTCGGCAGCCGATGGCCTAGTTTCGGCGGCGCGCCGAGGGGGGAAGTCCGGTACCGATCCGATTCGATATCGAGCCGGTTCGATATCGGTTCTCGGCTCGAGTCGATTCGATATCGAGCCGATTCGATATCGGTCCGATTCGATATCGAGCCGGTTCGATATCGAGCCGATTCGATACCGGTCCGATTCGATATCGAGCCGGTTCGATATCCGATCTTCGATGGCGGTTTTAGCCCCCCCCGCGCGGCGCGCGCCCCGCGGGGGGGCCGCACATGGACGAGCGCCGGCCGCCAGAGCTGGAGACCCAGGCCAAGGTTCGGCGGCAGGCCCTCTCAGAAGGGAGGAGGGAGGAGGGAGGGGAGGGGAAGGGGCAGGCCCTTGCAGAGGGCTCGGAAGGCCTCGGGCCTTCTGTGAAGCTTTCGAAGTCTTCCCCGAATGCACAGAGAGCTCCTCAGAAGGCCACGGGGGGCTTTGAGAAGCGCCGCCGCCTTCTGAGAAGGCCTGCTCCCAGGAGCGTCGGCCACGTTCGCCGGGCAGCTGTTGGCTGGCATTGCACCGGCATTTAGCGGCGAGACAGGTGGTGAGCCGTTCATTTGGTTGTTCGCGTCCCAACAAGAACTTCCCCTGGGAACGCCGCCGAAAGGTAGGGAGGGCTGGGGCCCGGTTTTTCCATCGGAACTTCAAGCGCATGTTGGAGCAAGGCCTCCACACCTTTGGGTGCACACGATCAGCAGTCAGTTTGGCTCCGGAGGGTCCTGCAAAAGACCTGAACGTCATCTTGATACTGGCCTGGTGCTGACACGGGCCCACGCCGAGAAACGCCCTGCTCGCCTCCACTGTACTTGCACCAGAGTGCTTCCATCGTCTGGCTTGCTTGTCTCGACGCGATCGCGGGGACCGCACACCGAAGAGCGCCGATCGCTCGGCAGACGACGGCCCCGTTTCGGCGAGGTGCCGAGAGTAGGGGGCAAACAAACCTACCTCGCTTTTGACCACCCTCGCTTCCAAGAGATACCAAGCGATGCCAAACTACGGTCTGTACTGGCCAGGCCTCTCGAGGAGGAGGCGCGTGGCATGACTTGGTTTTGCCTGGAAGCGAAAGCGGGGTAGGTCATTCACGCTCTGAGAGAGGAAGCTCAACGTGTTCTGCCGCCCTCGCCGCTCCCCGGCGGCTTCCTCTCCAGCCTCGGGCTGCTCTCCCCAGCGGGCGGCGCCCCGCCGAGGGCGCTGCGTGTGTGTGGGGGCGCGCCCGGCTTGCCTCGCGAACGGCCGCCGGAGGCCTGGGGTACGGCCCGCACACCAAAGTCGTGGCCCACGCCGTGAGCAGCGCCGAGATCTTCTTCGCCGTTGTCGGCCCTCGCTCGACCGATCGCCCGACCGCCATCGCCGATCGCTCAGCGCTCGGTCGCAGGTCGACGACCGCCACCGCTCGGCCACACGTCGACGATTGAAAATGATAGTGGTCATAGTAATTATACTCATAATGATAATAATGCTCTTCGAAGGGATTGAAAAGGGAAGGCAGGGGATCCCACTAGGGGCCGCGGCTGGTGTCGACCCAATCCGACACTGGAGCCGACGATGCACAAGTAATTCAATGCAATTTCTCTGGATGTTTTGGGCGATGTGTCCTTTGATGTCTACAGAGCCCCGCTACGGAGCTCACGGCCGATGGCGGCAACGCTCTGGGCAACCTTCGACGCCTCCCATACGTGTCGGTTCTTTTACGGGAGCCGTTGACCAGGACAAGGCTACCTCCGTCGTACGAACCCGACCTATGGAGCCGCTCGACGATCCCAATCGTTGGAGACATCGCTCCGGACATGCATGGGGATGTGCCGAAGGCAAGTGTAGACCGAACAAGTCGCGGCGACATGGAGCGTTGAAGGTTTGGGAAGAGACTTCAACAAGCCACCTGAGATGTTTCATCATAGAGCTCGCCTCGACATCAACATCCTTTGCATCCAAGAGAGGCATCACAGAGACGTCACACTTTGTGGACAGTGGTTCCGTAGGCACCCTTTCAGGGACATCGGAACATCACGATGGGCGCTTCTATTCTGGCGTCGGCTTTATAGTTGCACCGTGTGCGTCCGTAGCCGTGGTCAATTTCAAACTCATCTCTGCGAGGCTCGCTGCATTGAGGCTGAAGGTGCAAGGTGGGATCCTTGTGGTCATGTGCTGTTGCGCCCCGGATGCTGGACATGCTCTTGAGGATCGTCGAGATTTTTTTGGTTCTCTTACAGGAGCATGGCCGCCCGCAGGCAAGCACTGCGCGACAAGCACAAAGGGCAACTTCAACACGAAGCTCTTCGACAAGGAGCCGGGAGAAGTTGCATTGCTAGTTTCGTTTATCTTCAGGTCAAGGAGGCCGAATAATCGCGAGAGAACGAACAGAGACTTAATTATTGAAACTTGCCAGGCTACCGAGACGAAGGTCGCCAACGCGTTCGTCGAACTGCCTGGCGACCACTTGGTGACGTACTATTCGCCGCAGGCGCAGAAGGTGGATGCCATCGACGAGGAGGGTTTTGCCCAAGTCGGTCACTGTTTGATGGGTACCAGTAGGCAATATGATGTCTTGCATCCGGAGTTTCAGGTCGGACAGAATCATTGCGGTGGCGACCAAACATTTGCTCCTGTAGTTGCGTCTGGGGTTGTCTTGTGGATACTTCTACAAAGCCACCGCTGCGCAGAGTGGCAACGATAACTGTGGCCGACGAAGAAATCGTGCAAGAGTGCCAGCATGCCTTGTGTAGCGCAGTGGGGGCGCTATCGCCTGTTCTGACATTGGATCAGCGCGCCGAGAACATGCGACAAACCATGGTATCTGCATCAGGAGAGCTGGCAAGCAAACCGCCCAGGAGGCCCAGAAGACCATGGATGAGCCAATCCAAGGTTGATCTACTCATGGAGCGAAATCAAGTCAGAACAAGTAGCAGTCCAGACAAGGAGGCAAACTCTACGAAACGCATCAGGGAAGAAAGACAAGCAACTCTGGCTGGATGACAAACTCCTTGGTGGCTCCTGGGCAGCCGCGCGCGGCCTCTGGAAAGGGCCCGCCGAAATGCCTGTTCAGATACGCGACGCTGCAGTACACCTGGTGGAGAGCAGTGCGCTCGCAGACACGATGGCGGATTATTTCGAACACCTGCAATGGAAAGTGACCCACCCAGCACTCGCGCCGACCAGGGCCAAGGAGACAGGCGACACGTTGCTGATCAACACGAGCCCGTCTGACGTGGTTGAGTTCATCGCAGCCTCGAAAGCCCTCGCAGCGGGGAAAGCACTTGGGCTTGACGGAGTCCAGCCGGAATGCTGGATGATATTGCTGGGGTCACGAGAGACCTTGGAAAGCCCATTGCTACTGTGCCAGAGGTGTTGGGAAGAGAAAGATATACCAGACGAGCGGCGCACCACGCAAGTGGCGCTGCTCTTCGAGAAGGGGGGCAGCAGCCTCCCGGAAAACTAGCGGCCGATATCTCTTCTGCCTAATGGCTATAAGATTGCAGCGTGGATGCTATTACGACGACTTCAACGCGGCGGCGCGGAGGGCAGACTGAGACATACCCGGTTTGGCTATATGCCAAAGGGAGACACGGCGCACGCGGCATCGATCGCCAGGCGAATTTTCGAGGCAGCCCATGCTTCGAAGCCGCGCGGTCTCGTGGCGTTTTTTTTTGATTGGGCGAAGGCATTCGACAGGATCAAGCGCGATGTCCTGCTGCAGGCTCTGCGGAGGTTCGGAATGCCTGGCCTCGTGGTGGACATGATTGCCGGCGTCTGCCGCGAACGGAGTTTCATATTCCAGGACCCAGCTGGGGACGCCGCCAACGAGCCGGCGTCGCGCAAGGTTGCCCAATGTCATCATATTTGTTCATCATCTTCAAGGTCGTGATGTTCTTTGACGTCGACGCGCGGATGGTGGGCAAGCACCTGGCAGTGCAGGAGCCGGACTTCTTCATTCAGTGCGCTGACTTGCTCTACGCAGACGACGCGGTGCTCGCCAGCAGCTGCGCGGCCAAGTTCCAGACCCTTCTCGACGCGGTCATCGATGGGGGTAAGCGGTACGGGCTAGAGCTGAACTGGGAAAATCTTGTCTTCATAAGGATTCGAAATGTTGGCTCTCTACGCGGGGAACCGTTGATGGAGGGTTAGCAAGCAGTATGCTCAGGTGGTCTTCTCAACGCCACTTGTATTGCAACGCCTGGAGACACGCGACGACTGGGGGAAGCTAGAAGGGTCTTCAACTCCCTTCAAAAATGCTGGTCGCGCGCGAACATCACCAGATCGAGGAAGCTCGAACAATATCCTTCAATCGTGGTGCCGAAGCTGTTGTGCAACTTGGAATTTGTCGGGGCCCTCATGGCCGAAGCGTACAGGTTGAATGCGTTCCACGTGCAATGCCTTCGGAAACTCTGCCGCGTCCCATGCGCCTGCTTCTCAAGAGTGTCGACAGGCAGCGTGTTTGAGCAAACGGGAGAGCATGATTTGAGCGAGGGCCTCCTCGAACGACCAGAAGAAACTGTACAATTCAAGTGTTTCGCTTTCAGAGGACCACCCATTGCGCAAGCTGACGTGCAATCCGAAGTCTCAGACGCCCAGGGTTTGGGATGAGAGCCGCACGCGCGAGAGGCCCAAACAGCAGTGTGCACCCTTCATCTACGCAATTCGGTCCAGACAGTGATGGCAAGCTTGCATCGGTTGTTTTTTTGTTTGCTGCCTCTTCCCCCCTCCCCTCCTCTGCCTTTCTTCCGGCCTCCTGTGCCGTCTCCCTCGTTTGTCTCGCTCCGTCCTCCCCCCCTTCGTCGTCGTCGTTGTCGTTGTCGTGGTCGTTGTCTGACGTGGCCACGCTGTGTGTGAAAACTCAGCAGGTATCTGCGCAGCTCGCAACGTAGCGTCCATCATGCATGCGTCATGCTTTTCCGCGTGATTTCCCGCAGTCTTAAAGCAGCATTGCCGGCAGTTGTTTGATGGCCCCTTCCCTTCTTCTCTCCCTTGCCTCTGTTCCGGCCTCCCGTGTCGTCTTCCTCGCTTTCTCTCGCTCCGTCCTCTCCCTTTTTCGTCGTCCTCGCCGCAGCCGTTGTCGTCGTGCGCCGCGTGGGAAAGTTCAGCGGCCAATAATGCAGCATGAACGCATCCCAACATCCGCCACGGATGTATGATCTTTATGTGCGTGGCCTTCCGCAGTTTGAAAGCAGCAGCCGGCAGAGAGTCGCAGCCGATCGATGTTTCCACCACCCTGCCAGTGCACATTCGCGCGGCAGCTATTTCGTCGATGCGCCGTCGAGGCGCCTGGGTCCTTACCATTGAGCGACGCCGCCCAAGCGCCAGGGCGGGGGTTCAGCGCCAATCCGAGAAATTCGACGTTTTTATGTTTACATCATCGTTAGTCCCCCTAAAGGTGTCCGCGCGACACGCAGCGCGGGGCGCGATGCGCGGCGGCAGGTGGCCCTCGGTCTCAGAATGCCGCCTCCCCTGCACCGCCAGAGCGTGCCCGTGTCCACCGCTTCTCAGTCGCACCGCGGGATCTCCATCCGGGCCTCCCAGATGGGGTCGGAGCAGCTGCTGTCGGAGGGTCGCGCCGCCTCGCCGATGCATCGGCGCAGCGGCTCGATGTGGAGCCAGTTATTCTCCACGCCGGCGTCGCCGAGGCATCGCCGAAGTCGCCGAGGCATCGCCGATGCGTCGTCGATGCATCGGCGAGGCGGCGCGGGAGCAGGCCTTCTCAGAAGGCGGCGGGGCTTCTCGGACGCACTCGCGCCCTCTGCAGAGTGTTCCGTGTCTCCGGGGAAGGCCCAGAGAGCTGCCCAGACGGCCCGACGCCTTCGGGGCCTTCTGAGAAGCCCCGCCCCCTCTCGCTTCCCCCCTGCGCTCGCCGCCAATGTGTGCCCATCGCTTCGGAGTCGTGCCCCGGGATCTCCAGGACCCCCCGAGCACACGAGCGACGCAAGAAAACGGGGTCGGCTGCGCCGACATTGGCGCGCGCGCTCCCCGCGTGGGGTCGCGCGTGAGCGCCCTCGTCTCCAAGGCAGCGCGCGGCCCGCGAGAGTCGCCGCGTGAGGTCGCTGTGCCATCTCGCGTGAGGCCCGTTGCTGATCGTTGCCCAGACGGATCCTGCCGCCCTTCGTTTTGCGGGGCGCGAGGGTACTCCAGGTCTCTCAATAAGCGTGGGGGGGTGGGTCGCGTGGGGGGGTGGGAAGCCGCTGTCCATCGGGGGGCGTGGGGAGGTTGGGGAGCGAGAGGGGTGGGTTTGGGGCGCGTGGGGGAGTGGGCAAGGGGCGTCGGACAGGTTGGCACGGGGGGTGCTTATTGAAGGATCTGGGGTAGGTATTTTGGAACTCCCAGAACCCAATCTGCTTCAAGCGCCTTCCTACTTCAAGAGTCGATATGCTTCAAGAGTCGATCTGCTTTTGCTGCGTTCTGTTACTCTCAGGGCGGGCCCGAACCGAATCGACTCTATCCGCCTTCCTACTTCATGTTTCTACCTACTTCTTCCGACCGATGAGTACGTATACATTTATGATGCTCCAACCTGTTTTAGCCTTGACCACCAGAAATAGATTCGAGCACCAAGAAAGTACCGAAACCGGATGGTTTTCACGCGTCGGGCTCTGGGAGGTGATACTCGTTCGAACCTGCTTCGATACTTTTCTGAGTGCTCGAGATTGTTTCGGGGATGTGGTTCTCAAGGACGATGGGAACAACATAAGCACAAGGTTCGCTGCCAGGGTTGTGGCTTCCGTGCGGCGTCCCGTCCCCCGAATCATCCCCCTTGCGTCCTCGCACGCATCCCCGTCGCCCCCCATATCATCCCTGCGCCCATCCACTCGTCTCGACAGGTATCTCACGGTGCGCCCCACGATGCACGGACAGTCATAGGGGGTCCGATGATGACGGCTGTGAAGATAATATGGGGACGTTCTCGAGAGCTAGCAGACTTCTAGACAACACATGGCAACACCAGAACAACGAGTCCGTCCCCGGTGATGGAATGAGCGGCGCCTTGTGACTGTCCCTGCATCATCATCATCATCATCATCATCATCATCATCATCATCATCATCATCATCAGCATCAGCATCAGCATCAGCATCATCATCATCATCATCAGCAGCATCAGCATCAGCATCAGCATCATCATCATCATCATCATCATCAGCATCATCAGCATCAGCATCATCAGCATCAGCATCAGCATCATCATCATCACCATTATCATCATCATCATCATCATCATCATCATCAGCATCATCATCATCTTCATCATCGGCGTCCCTGTGACTGTCCGTGCATCGTGGGGCGCATCGTGAGATGCCTGTCGAGACGAGGGGATGGGCGCCAGGGATGATGTGGGGGACGACGGGGATGCGCGCGGGGACGCCAGGGGGGATGATTCGGGGGACGCCGCGCGCAGGCCACGACGCAGGGCAGCGAACCTGACAAAAGTAAGTATATACCAGAACAGCGAGGCCGTCCCCGGTGACAGAAGGCGAGGCGGCCTGGCGTCACCTCCCAGCCCCTCGCGCGGCCGCCCACCCTCGCCTCCTGGGCAGCTGGCTCGATGGGCCTGCTTTCCACCACCACCACCATAGTTGGAGGCGGAGGAGGAGGAGGGGGAGGAGGAGGAGGAGGGGGAGGAGGAGGAGGAGGGGGAGGAGGAGGAGGAGGAGGAGGAGGAGGACCCCCTTCCCCTCCAACTTATGGTGGTGGTGGTGGTGGAAAACAAGCCCATCATGGATCCTGCCCCCCCCCTTTGCACCGGCTCGCTTCGATTCCTCCGACTCGATTCGAGTTCGACTTCGATGGCCTCCGATCCCGATTCGGCTCGCTTCGATTCCTCCGATTCGGTTCGACTTCGACTTCGATGGCCTCCGACCCCGCTTCGGCTCGCCTCGATTCCTCCGATCCGGTTCGACCTCGACCACTTCGAGGGCTCCTGGTCCCGATTCCGATGCGATCTGGGGCTCCGATTGGGGGCTCCGAGGCCCTGCCGGAGGCACACACTGGCCTGCCGACCTCCGCTGGTCGGAGGGCACCAGCTATACACCAACACCGACCCTGGCCCAGGATCACCCTGGGCCCAGGATCGGTGCAGATGCCTTCCTGCGCCAGGCGGGAGGGCGCATACCCCGATCCTGGGCCCAGGGCGATCCTGGCCAGGATCGGTGCTGGTGTATAGTGGGTGCCTTCCTAGCTGGCTCGACTCTCTCCCCGACTCGGCTGCCGATCTCCGCCGATCGCCGATGCGGCTCGTCCACGGGCTTCTGGGCTCCGCTGCCCCCGGTCGGCGCGGAGGCGGCCAGCAGCGGCAGGAGGGGCCGGCGCGGCGGCAGCAAGGGCAGGGCGGTGGACCCGCCGGAGGAGCCCGCCTCCTCCTGCTCCGCCTGCTCCTCCTGCTCCTGCTCCTCCTGCTCCTCCTCCTCCTGCTCCTCCTCCTCCTCCTCCTGCTCCTCCTGCTCCGCCTGCTCCGCCTGCTCCTCCTGCTCCTCCTGCTCCTCCTGCTCCTCCTGCTCCTCCTGCTCCTCCTGCTCCTCCTGCTCCTCCTCCTCCTCCTCCTCCTCACTTTCCTCCTCCTCCTCCTCGCATTTCTCCTCCTCCTCCTCCTCCTCCTCCTCCTGCTCCTCCTGCTCCTCCTGCTCCTCCTGCTCCTCCTGCTCCTCCTGCTCCTCCTCCTCCGCCCCCGCGCGCGAGCACAGGTGGCGCGCCCGCCCGCGCTCTCGGAGGGTTTCTCGGGCGCCCCTGCGAGGGTGATGCGGATGATGGGCCAGTTTTCCGCCGCCACTGCCATCAGGGAGGACTGGAGAGAAGGGAGGATGGGGAGGTCCTCCTCCTCCTGCCTATGGTAGTGGTGGTGGAGCGTGGGCCCACCATCGAAGGTAGTACGGAGGTTCTCGGGGTCGTCCGGAGGTTCGCGGAAGTTTTTTGGCGCTTCGGTGGGTCGCGCCTTGAGAAAGGGGGAGGTCTCACGGGGAAGGCTCGCGGGAGAGAGGGGCACGCTCACTCGGGTCGTTCGAAGGCTCGCGGAAGTTTTGGCACCTCGGCGGGCAGCGCTCTTGAGAGGGGAAGGTCTCGCGGGGAAGGCTCGCGGAAGACAGGTCAGTATCGTTTATCCGACCCCCATCCCCATCCCCGTCCCCGTCGAGACCCCCACCAAATTACCCCCCCAGTTGGGGATACACCCCTCGAAACCCGAAGGGAACGAGGCATAACCCCATCCAATGGGGTAGGTCGGCCAGTGGGGCCCGGGCTACGCCGCTGGGGATGGGGATCGATGAAACGACACCGAAGAGGGGCGCGCTCAAGCCGCTCTTGGCTCGGAGCGCGCCTCCGAGCGCGCCCTCTGGAGGCTTCTCTCGGGGTCCGCGGGCTGCCGAGTGGCCCTGCTGGGCCGCCTCGGCTTAGGCTTCGTTGCGGCTTCTGTGGCCGTGCCGCTCAGTTGCTTGCTCTGAGCTTGCTCGGGGGCCCTCGAAGGACGTCAGACGTTCTCGGAGGTCGTTGGAAGGGTTCCGGATGTCCTCCGAGGTTTTCGGGGGCTTTCGGACGCGCTCGCAGGTATTCGTATTCGGAGGTTGCAGATTTACCCACAGGTGTGCGGAGGGTTTTCGGCGCCCTTCTGAGGTCTTCGGAGGTCCTCACCGAGTTTCAGATACCTCCACGGGTTTTCGGAGGATATCGGACGTCCTCGGAGGTATTCGGTGTCGTTCGGATGTTATCCCTCCAGTTGTTCTTTTGATTTCGGACGTTTTCGGATGCCTCAAGAGGTTTTCGCATGTTCTCGAAGGCCTTCGCATGTCTTCGGATGTCGTCGAAGGTTTTACGGGGCGGAGGACGCCAACTAGGCCACCCGCGCTAATCTTGCCAAGAGGTGGGCTTCGGGTACCTGGACCTCCCCCTCAAAGATGGCCCCCAAGACCCCCGACGTGCCCCGAAGGAAGCCCCAAACGGGCCCCGAAGATTTCGCCAAGGGGCGCTGAGAGGCGCCTCATATATCCCCTGAGGCTCATGACCTCCCCAAGACAAGATCCTTCCCGCTTCCAAAAGCTCCACGGCGGCCGTCCAGGGCCGTCTTCGGGGTTCTCTCGGGGGCGAGAAGGACAGCAGAGGGTGGTAATGCGTCGTTACACGCATGTCTGATTGTGCGTAGCTGTGCACCCCTCGCCCTAGCCCGAGCACCACTTCGCGCCTTCGGCGACGAACGCGTTGGCTTCCAAGCCGCAGCTCTCTTTTGTTCGTGCACGGTTCCTCTACCCCGCTCCCTTTCATTCGGTCACGACCCCAACACGCCCCTGAACGCTCGACTGCAGGACAGGCAGAACTGGACCGCTCGCGCGAATGCACGCGCGATGGTTCTAGTTCAAACCTACCCCGGTAACATTTGTCGGACTTGTCCCATCTGCCTGTCCTGTCTTGTAGAGCATGCGATGGTGGAAAAGCTGCGCGGACGGAAGGCGGATCGTGCTCACGATGCTACTATAGCTTGGATGTGCCGCACTTAATGATGGTAGTCTGGTTGCGTGCTGTGAAGAGAGACGCGCGGCTTTTTTCTGCAAGCCATTATCTGCTGTTCCTCAGCTTCCCCTTCAAGTTGTCAATGTGTTCCTCGTTTTCTTAATGTTCCTCCTCGTTTCCATCGTCCTCCTCGCCGTCTTCCTGGTATTCCTCTTCTTGATGATCCTCGTCCCCTTCCTGCTTCTCGTTTTCTTCCTTGTGTGTTTCCTCTTCTTCTTTTTCTTCTTCTGATTTTTCTTCTTATTCTTTTTATTCCTCTTCCTTTTCCTCGTCATCATCGTCGATCATTGTCTCCTCCTCGTCCACATTTATCATATTGTTTTCGTTTCTATTCACCTTCCTCTTCCTCCTCGTGTTTCTCTTTCCCTTTCGGCCTTCTCATCCTTTTCCTCGCCCCTCCCCTTCCTCGTGCCCGTCTTCGTCGTCCTCCTTGACGCGATCCTCGTTCTGGTCGTTCTGGTAGTCGTTATATTCGTAGTCGTCATCGCCGCCGCCGCCGCCGCCGCCGCCGCCACCGCCACCGCCGCCGCCGTCGTCGTCGTCGTCGTCGTCGTCGTCGTCGTCGTCGTCGTCGTCGTCGTCGTCGACGTCGCCCTCGTCGTCGTCGTCGTCGTCGTCGTCGTCGTCGCCCTCGTCGTCATCATCATCGTCGTCGTCATCGGCGTCGTTCTCGTAGTCGTCCTTGTCGTCGTCGTCGTCGTCGTCGTCGTTGTCGTCGTCGTTATCGGTATCGTCGTCGTCGTCGTTGTTGCCGTTGCCGTCGTCGTTATCGGTATCATCGTCGTCATCGTCGTCGTCTTGACGACCCAGGACGACGTGTACGTGACAGACGAGGTCGTAGGGTGGCAGCCCAAGCGGCGAGCGAGGCCGCGCCGACATGGGAGGAGGGGAGGGGAGGAAGACAAGCTAGATGCGCTCGCGTCATATCTGACATCCTACCCCTCCCTCCCATCCCTTACCATGGCGTAGATCCCCTCTCTACTCGCACAGTCGGATGTCGAGCAGTGCAGTGATCCCGAAAGGGTACGCGATGCATTGTAGAGCACGGCATGGCATGGCGTAGAAGAGCACCGCAAAGCGTAGTATCAACCTAGCATTGCATTGCATGCCGTGGCATGGCACGGGAAATGACGCCAGCGCTGCAGCGGGAGCACGAGTCGGAACGAGCGGAAGCGCGGAAATGAAGCCAGCGCTGCAGCGGGAGCACGACTCGGAACGAGCGGGGCCCGAAAATGAGGCCGGCGCCCCAGCGAGAGCAGCATTTTGGAAAAGAATGTAGGCGAAAACCCAATTCTGGGGAATCCTGTGTGTTAAAAACAGTACGCGGCGGGGGGGTTAACACTTTCCAGCCGTCATCAGGGGAAGAGGGAGAGTAGTATTCATATGGAGTAATTGTGGAGGTGCCATGGAGGAGGGGGAGGAGGAGGAGGAGGAGGAGGAGGAGGAGGAGGAGGAAGAAGGAGGAGGAGGAGGAGGAGGGAAAGGGAGGAGGAGGAGGAGGAGGAGGAGGAGGAGGAGGAGGAGGAGGAGGATGCGGGAGGAGGGAGGAGGGAGGAGGGAGGAGGGAGGAGGGATGAGGACGCGTACGAGTACGAGTAGGAGTAGGAGTAGTAGGAGGAGGAGGAGGAGGAGGAGGAGGAGGAGGAGGAGGAGGAGGAGGAGGAGGATGAGTGGGAGGAATGGTGGAAGGGAGGAGGGGGGAGGGATGAGGATGATGAGGAAGAGAAAAACAGGATGATCAGCAGGAGGAGGAATGACCGACAGGCCACCTCGTCACCACTCCTTACTTCTCCCCCCTACACCTGCTTTTGGCTTGCTGCGGGCCCTAGATCGTGGTGAGTTTGACGTGGTCGTTGTCGTCGTCGTCGTCGTCGTCGTCGCCCTCGTCGTCGTCGTCGTCGTCGTCGTCGTCGTCGTCGTCGTCACATCGTCGTCGTCGTCGTCGTTCTCGTAGTCGTCCTTGTCGTTGTCGTCGTCGTCGTCGTCGTCGTCGTCGTCGTCGTTGTTGCCGTCGTCGACGAGCACCTCGTATCACATCTTGTTCGCTGCCGACTGGGAGGCCGGGAACAGCCTCGTAGAGTCCCTTCCCGTCGTGGTACTGAGGGGGGCTACCTTCGGCGAGCCCGTGCCCAGGGCCTTCCTCACAGAGACACGCCCCGGCATTCCAGCATCATCCTTCTTCTCCTTCCCTTTCCCCCTCCCTTGGATGCGCGGACGGGGAGGAGGAGGGGGAGGAGGAGGAGGAGGAGGAGGAGGAGGAGGAGGAATGGCGAAGATAGAGGAGGGAGGACGAGGAGAGTGGTGGCAATGATCATAGGGACGACGACGATGATGCAACATGATCACCAGGATGCGGAGGATGATGAGGATGAGTGGGGGCATGATCATGCATGAGGTCGTGACTGTGATGGTGTTGATGCTGATTCTGATGAGGGTGACGATGAGTGGACCCGCCGCGACCCCAATCAGGGGAACGCTTCCTACAGTCAACCCGAATAGTAAGGATGGGCAACCGTCCCAAAGGTACCCTTGCATCCTTGCCTCCTCGGCCCATTTTTGCCACTTTCGTTGGCCGCGCCCCGCTCGAAAAGCTTCGACGTGGCCTTCCAAGGCCCTTGCATCCTTGTCGCGCATCCTTACTATCTTGGTTGACTGTATCGCATGCCCGCATTGCATGTTATTGCTTGTCACTGTCTGGAGGCCGAGGAACAAATCCGGGGGAACCCGAGGAACCCAAGTTAAGGAGAACCAGACCAAGGGGAACCCGAGGAACCCGAGAGTGGGGAGCAATACCGAGGAGAACCCGAGCATATCCCGAGCAGGGACCAAAAGACCGAGGACCCCCGAGGAACCCAAGCCAGGCACGAGACCTGGGGGACCCGAGGGACCCGAGCAGGAAACAAGACCAGGGAAACCAAGGAGTGGCCGTTCTCTCATTCCTTGTTTTTTGCCGATCGGCGCGGGCCCGAGCGGGGACCAAGACCGAGGAGCCCGAGGAACCCAGGCCGGGCACAGGACCCGGGGGACCCGAGGAGCCCTCGCGCCGAGCGAAAGGAGGGGGATATTAGGCAAAGGGGGGGGGGGTACGAGCTCAGCGGCGTGCCGCCGGTCTCGGCCCCGCCGATGGGGCCCATCCCTCGATGCAGGGGCGCCTCCCGGGCGCGGGGAGGCGCCGGGAAAGTGAGCTACGTGAGCTGATTCTCCCCCCCTTTGCTATCTCCCCCTTTCGCCCGGCCCGAAACCCGAGCAGGAAACGAGGCCAGGGAACCCGAGGAATGACCGTTCTCGCATTCTCTGTTTTTTTGCCCGCCCGTCGGCGCGGGCCCTCGCACCCCTCCCTCCCAAAGAGTGGGTCTTGGCTGTTCTCTGGCGCCCGTTTCGAGCGGGGGGAGTCTCCCCCAGAGGTCGCCCTGTTTGCAAACAGTCGCACTAAGCAGAGGTCCAGAGCCAGACCCCCCCCTCCCCCACCCCCTTCCGCCCAATGTCGAAACGCCGAATAAGAAAACGCTCACAACCCAAGCAGGGAACAAGGCCTGAGAACTCGAGGAACCACAGCAAGGACGAAGGCTGGGGAGTCCGAGGAACTCTTGCAGGGAAGCAGGGCCAGGGAACCAAAGGCCCTCTGAGGAAGGCCCCTGCAAGGAAATAGGTAAGACCAGGGCACCCCGAGGAAGGCCGTGACGACCGCGCCCGGCACCCACTGGTTCTTCACAAGCAAGTAAGAACACCTAGGTAAAGTCTGATTTGTGAGAATTCTGATTGGGGTGCTGGTGCATACGTAAATGCGGGGGATCATGCAACAATGATTTGGTACAATGAAGACACGGAGGGCTTATGCTATGAATGAAGATGCGGATGAAAGGAGTTTGGCACCTATGGCAATGCTGGTGGCGATGATGATGCTGATGATGATGACGATGCTGCTGATGATGCTGTTGCTGATGATGATGCTGCTGATGATGATGCTGCTTATGATGATGCTGATGATAATCATGACGACGATGGAGATGAGGATGCAGATGAGGATGAGGATGATGATCAGGACGGTGATCATGGTGGTGGTGGGGATGTTGAGGATAATGAGGGCCGATACGTGTGATTATTGATGATGTTGGTGGCGATGGTGACGATCATGTCGATGACGATGTTGATGCCGATTAACTTGTTGATGACGGTGATGGAAATGGTGATGGTGATGATGATGGTGGTGATGATGATGATTATTAGCATGATGATGCTGCTGATGATGACGATGATGATGGTGAAACTCATGGTGATGATGATGGTGATGATGATGATGACGATGCTGATGATGCTGCTGATGCTGCTGATGCTGCTAATGATGCGGATGATGATGATGATGATGATGATGATGGTGATGCTGCTGCTGCTGATGATGATGATGATGACGATCATTGTTATGATGCTGCTGATGATGCTCATGCTGCTGTTGATGATGATGGTGGTGATGGTGATGATGCTGCTGCTGCTGATGATGATGATGATGATGATGAGGATGATGATGATGATGAGGATGAGGATGAGGATGAGGACGAGGATGAGGATGAGGATGAAGATGATGACGATGATGATGATGATGATGATGATGATGATGATGATGATGATGATGATGATGATGATGATGATGATGATGATGGTGATGGTGATGCTGCTGCTACTGATGATGATGCTGCTGATGATGATGATGATGATGATGATGATGATGATGATGATGGTGATGCTGATGGTGATGGTGAGGAGGAGGATGATGATGCTTATGAGGAGGATGCTGACTGACTATGACGACGGCCACGACAACCTGAAGCCGGAGCATTAAGATCAGGAGGAGGACATCGTCTGGGGAGCGTAAGACCCGGGTTTGCCAGGACTCGGGTTCGCCATCGTTTTTTGACGACCGCGCCTCGGATTTTGACGAGGAGGAGTTTAGTGGGATGTCTGCAGCGGGAGGCCTCGTCAAAATGCAGGTTCGGCCTCGTCATTTTTTTGACGACCTCGTCGGGGATTTCCGAGTCCCCTGTACCCAGGTCTTACGTCCCCCTGACATCGGTGGACGAGGCGGAAGACGATGGCCGCCCGGAGGCCGAAGTTGCCGCCCTGGGAGGCGGACTCAGACGGCGACGGTGGCCCGGCTCAGCCGCGGGCTCGGCCGCCGCCGCCGCCCTCCACCTCGCTCCTCGTCCTCCTTTGCATCCTTCATGCTCCTGCGCCTACTGCTCCCCCTCCTCCTCGTCCTCCTCCTCCTCCTCTTCCTCCTCTATCTCCTCCTCCTCCTCTCCTCCTCCTCCTCCCCTCCTCCTCTCCCTCCTCCTCCTCCTCCTCTCCCTCCTCCCCCCCGTCCTCCTCGTCCTCCTCGTACCCCTCCTCCCCCTCCCCTTCCCCCTCCTCCTTCCCCTCCTCGGTCCTCCCCCTCCACCCTTCTTGATCCAGTGGGCCACCTACGGATCCAGCAGTTTTGGGGTCTCTCCCTGTTTCCCTCGAGCGTATGCACAACATGACTTCTCTTTGTGGTAGCTCGACAGGTCGGGACCGCGTTCTCAAACTTCGGACCATCTTGCGGACCCCAGGGTCGAGGCCTTTCGGAAGCCCCTTTCATATGCAGCATCGGCCTTCACCCCTCTCGATTGTAGTGGCGGATCTGAATTACGTTCTCTTTTCACTTGGCTCGTGACGCAAACTGCACGCGCGCGAGTTAACGCCAGACGGATGCTGCGGGAGAAGACAAAACAAACAGCACTTGTGTACTGCAGAATCGCCTCGCGTCGACCGGCGGCGACCCCGCCGCCAGCGTTCCGCGTTGAACGCAGCCGGCGACCCAGAAGCGGTCGGTGTTGAACGATTTGACGTTTCGGAAACGGCCGATCGTTCAAGGTTGAAGATACCCGCGGTGTCAGGAACCAACGCCGAAGTCGGCACGATGCAAGCCTGCCGTGTGTGGGCCTCCCAGGCCTGGAAAGGGACCCGCGAGGCCGACGCGGCCCGCGCGTGGCGTCGCCGGACGGGGCCGAGCTGCGGCTCGACAGCGGCGCTCCCTGGACCGACCCTGGACACTTCCAAGTCGGGGAGGAGGAGGAGGTTGAGGAGGAGGAGGAGGAGGAGGAGGAGGAGGAGGAAGAAGAAGAAGAAGAGCGGCCTCGGGGGGCGGAGTCTGGCGCGTGCCGCTTGCTCTAGCCCCCGCCGTCGCCCGCACAGCGCGGGCGCCTTCACTCAGCTCACGGCGTCGCGCACGCCGAGCTTGAAACCGACCATGGCGTAGATCGTCGGCCTCCATACAAATTCATTGTCCTTCAAACCGGGCAGCCAGCTCACCAGCCCTGCCTCCCGTTGGTGCCTTGCCCTCCTTGACCACCGCTCCTATCTGAAGTAGTGCACGTTGAATGGTATCCTGGATGCTGACCCACTGCAGCTGCTCCTCCATCGGTTCCTCCTCGTTCTCCGCGTCCGTCCATGCGCCCTGCACGAACAGCGAGAGCTACGCTGAGAAGGAGTCGAAGCACTTGCTGAGTTTGATGTTTTAGACTCTGAGCAGTACCGTCGCTGCTTTGATCTTGTCCAGGAAGAGACTGGCAGTGTAGTTGACAGTACACGTAGCGCCTGAGTGGCCAATACATGTGCAGTATACGCGATCCTTGAACCGAGGGCTTGGCGTTCGGCTTGTCGAGCGTGAAGCTTAGGCTGTGATGAGCGTCCAATGGAGCGAAGCCGACCCGGTAGACATGATGAAGTAGCCCTTCGAGACATTGCACGGTCCACGGCGGCGCCTACATCAGCTCCTCGTAGAAACCGAGGCCTTGGGTCTGGGGCTTTCTCTTTGTGGTGTCTGTAGGCTGCAGGATGATCTGGGAAATGTCAGCTGGCAACGACCATTCGGGAACTTGAGCTCGTAGATTGAAGTATTTGAGCCGCTTCTTGTCTCCGTAGTACAGGATGCCCACGTACTCCTTCCCCTCGTGATACTCATCCTTGATCTGCTGCTTGACGTCGTCGTCGTCGCGGTCCTCGAAGGCGGCCAGGAGCAGCTTTTTCTCTTCCTCAAAGTCGAAAGGTTGAGCCTGAAATCCTCCATGAGCGCCATTGAGTGCGCCGTGCGTAGTCCTCTCGGCGAGGCTCGGTCTCGAACGGGTTGCCCTGCTGTAGTAGTTGCAGTTCCTCTTGCCGTGATTGGTGCCTGCCATGCACTTGTTGAGTCGATGTCTTTCGTCGTGCTGCCTTTTTTGCCATGCCTCAGAGATCTGTGCCTCTGATGCTCTCTTGCATGCTGCGTCGTGAAGTAGCTTCTGCTTCTTGATAGCTCTTGTGAGTGTGTCCAGCTTCTCTCCGATGACGAGGTCCATCCCTGCGCCGATGTACTGCTTGCGTAGCTCCTCACTTTTCTTCAGAAGCTGGGGCTGCTCTGCCATGAGCTGCTTGCTGGTACCAGTTTTTTTTGTTTTCTCTCGACGAAGGGCTTGGCTGTGGTCTTGAGCATGTCGATCAGAAACTTCCCCTGGTCGTATGTGGTGCCCTGCTCTTTGAGCTCGCGGATGGTATCTGTGTGGTGCTCCAGCGAGGTCGCGAGGGCTGATATGAACTCATTGCGATAATCACCAGTCTGAAGAGATTCTGCCATTTTGTCGTAATCCCATGACGTCCGAAGAGTGCCAGAGAAGATATTGTGCATGACGATGTCGGCCCTGGCGACGAGTGGCTCATGGTCCCTCGGCACGCTGTACTTGTGCTGCTGAATCGCTTTCACTGCCTTCCACCAAATACCGCTTGTCTGTAGATTCTGCAAGAGCCCTGGGGGAACCACGAGGTAATCAGGTCTCGTAGCTTGTCCAGTTGCACCAAAAGAGGTAGGGCCAGCCTTCCAGACGGTATTGGGGAGGCGGAATCCGTGAACGTCCACCATGTTATAGCAGGAGGTTGCTGCTTCACCTGGCCGACCGTGTAGTTGTGAGTCGCCGAAGGCCTCATGTACTTCATCTGCAATGAGTCCGTCAGCTCCATATTGATGATCTTTGAAGTCAATGCCTATCGACGGTGTGCTGCACGTCGGTGTGGCATGAAGCGTACTGTTGATCCACTTGTGCGTCTCTATGTCCGTTGTGACCCACTGGATAGACTTTGCCGCTAGCCCTGAGCGAGGCGAGAAGTAGGCCGCGATGAAGGCGAGGTCGCACTCGCCCCTCTGGTAGCGGAGAGCACCAGCGTATCCTTGTATCTGCTTGGGCGGGGTCTTGATATCGACGAAGGCTCGCTGACCGAACCGCTGGGAGCTCACCATGATCTCCCTTCCCTTATGACTAGTGGTGAGCGGTCCGCGGCCATAGCCCCACGTGTAGACTTCGTGCTTGAGAGTCTTGAGCTGGTCGATCTCTGAGCTGGCGTCGCGCAGTCGCCAACGCATAGCTGGGGGCAGCTGCACGTCCATGGCGCTGTGGGTGTGGCTGATCACGAGGCGGCGATGCAGCGCCAGCAGCGAGAAAGGATAATATATTCTCCCTCGGAGGAACGGCATAGCTATCCAGATCGTCATGAAGAATATGGAGGCCAGCCAGGCTGGCATATCATGGAAGGCGCCCTCGGCGGGCGGAGCTGCTCTGCGCGGGGTGCCTGCTTGCCCGCTGAAAAGGTGGCTTGAGCAGAAGCGGCGGCTGAGGAGGAGGAGGAGGAGGAGGAGGAAGAGGAGGAGGAGGAGGAGGAGGAGGAGGATGAGGAGGAGGAGGAAGAGGAGGAGGAGGAGGAGGAGGAGGAGGAGGAGCACGAACGTACACCTCCGGAGCCCCGCGCTGGGATTTCCCGGGTCGGTGCCGTGCCCGCC